GGGTCGCACACTTTCATGCTCCGTTGGCTATTCTCCCCCATCCACTCTGGCACAGGGGAGAAAATTTATACTTAAAAGAAACCAATGCTTTGTGAAAGGGAACTGGGCCCTCTGTAATTTTATTTGCTCCAAGGCCAGATAATAAAAAGGCAGATGGACAGGTGTGCCTGCTAATGTTGCTGGATAATTGGCTAAGAAATCCCCTCTACTCAATCCATGCAGCTTAACTGCACGGAGAGAACAAATTTGCTCGCATTTTCAGTCTCTCTATTAAAAATAAATTTAAGAGAAACTTGTTATATGACCTGTCCCATCTGGGCCATGATTAACCATTCATTATTATTATAATAATGAGTCCATTGTTTTTACCTTAATAATTATATCGAAGTTACTGAAATTTTTGAGAGCTATTGTCATAATGAAACTGATGGCCAGGAAAGAAGAGTAACTTTGCTGAGATCACAGAAGACAAACATCCATGCTGGCAAAACACTGATACATGAAATGGAATGAGTAAGTCTAAAAAGGATTGCTTTAAAGAATGCTCACAAGAGTCACAGAATTTATACTGCATGCTCTTCAGAGAAACAATTGACAGAATGTGAACACAAAGAAAAAGACTTGTTTTAAGGGACTAGCTCACACGATGGTGGATGTTTGTTGAGGACAAAATGAATAGAGAGGCCGCCAAACTCAAGGGAGAGCAGCTGGAGGCCAAAGGCCATCTGTGGGCTGAATTTCCTCTTCCTTGGCAGTGACAGGCTTGGGGCCAGTCTTTGCTTTATTAAAACTTTTCAGTATGGCTCAGCAGTTAAGAACTTGTAATACTCTTCCAGAAGACCAGAGTTCGGTTCCCGGAGCCCACATCAAGCAGCTCATAACCTCCTCTAACTCCAGCTCCAGGCACTTGTGTGCACATGCACAAACTCAGCCACAGACACACACATTATACAAAATTAGAATCAACAGGAGGGTGACTGTAACCTGGAAGCCTGCATGACACTCACCAGCCGGCCTTTGTCGGGCACCTTATCTATAAAATGAGCGTGTGGTCTCAATATGCTTCTGTGAAGATGAAATGAATGAAAGCGTACAGCCCACAGCCCAAGGATGACACATAGTGTGTGTTTACCATGTCGACATGAGCAGGGCACATGCTTTCAGGCACAAGTCAGCAGAGCCCACAGCCCAGCTGAAATCATGTCTAAGGTATCTATCTGCATGAGTCTTCTTAGAAATGAAAGCTCCATAATTCTCTTATTGGCTTTATTTGGCATAGGATTGCGTGTGTGGTTTGGGGGTATATATTAATACATTGTGGACTAGTACAGTCAGACTAACAGTTGTGTCATCTCACATGGGTGTCACTGTGCAGTGACAGTGCTTAATGATGCCAGTTCCCCTGAGAAGCAAGAGTGCTGGATCATAAGCCGAGTATGACAGCACCCATCCATAAAGTCCGCATTTAGGAGGTAGTGGCAGGAGGGTCATCCCCAGTCACACAGCAAACAAAGGCTAGCCTGAGCACCTGAGCCTTTATCTGAAAAACAAGCAAGCAGATGATTGGCTTGGTGGAAGGCTTCTCGGTTTCTCCAGGTATCAGTCTTCCAAAGGGAAAAGCATTTGGTGGCATGTTCTATCCCCGAATTACAGGCTAGGTCTTCGTGTGACAGCTATCCATATGTAACCATACGTATATCTCATGAGGCACATGCCTCCCATCAATAACTCAAGGGACAGAATTTATTCTGGCACATGGTCTCAAACCTTTGTCTGTGGAAGGGTATGACAGAGCAAAATAGCTCATAGAACAACTGTGAAGGAAGAGAGAGGAAAAGGATGGGGAGGAGGAAAGGGAAAAGGAGAAAGAGGGGGAGATGAAGGAGGAGAGGAGGGAAAGAGAGAGGGAGGAGGGAGAATCTACCTGTGCTTTCCAGGACACTCTCCTTTTCCCTTTGTTCTACTCCAGTCTGCAAGACAATACTGCTTGGGTTTGGGGCTGGTCTCCTTCTTTAGTTAATTCTCCGTGTAAACACCAGAGGCGCACTTTGCTAATTGCCTAGGTACATCTCAGTCCTATTCAGTCGATAACCAAGATTCACCAGCTACATAGAGAGAATGCATCATATGAAGTCGACAGGCATCTATCATACACATATTAGCTGTCCAGACTCACCCACAGATACATTTGGGAACTCTCATGTACCCAGAGTACAAATTTATAGCATGCTCCTTATAACTACATGTGAGTTCTCTCAACCCCTCTTCCCAGCTTAGGGATACACAGCTTGAATGCCCATCAAGGATAATCATAGCCATAAGGGTGAAGAGGGCAGGGAAGAATAGGAAGGGGAAGAAACTTCGGGGCTACCCCAGTCCTGAAAAGAGGGAAACACAGATGAGTCTCTCAACATAAGCCCCAAGTTTCCATCCAAGTCCCTCTCCTCTTCCTAAGCCAGAGTGCACCTTGTAGAAGAGTGTCTTCACTAAAATGCCCTTTACCAAGCTGAGGTTTTATTTGTTTAGTTTTGGTTTTGGTTTTGCAGGTATGTGTGTGTGTTGGGCTACCCATTTATGTGGCACATGTGTTGGGTGTGCATGCTACAATGTGTACATTTGGAATCCAACTCCCAGCATCATTCTGCAGGATACATTCATTTTGCTGTTTGTTTGCTTGTTTTTTGTTTATGTATTTTTAGTCAGTTCTCTCATTGGCCTGGAGCTTACAATCTACACTACGCTTTCTGGCCAATGAGCTGCTGGGATCCACCTGCCTCTACCTCCCAAGTCCCCACCAGCTCACAGCATTTTTTATGTGAGTTCTGGGACTCAAGCTCAGGTCCTTGCAAGGAAAGCCCTTTACAGGCTGGGCTATCTCCCCAGCACAGATACATAGGGATTTAGGCATAGAAAAGAACTGTTATTTTTTGTCCTTACAGACAGTCCCTTACTTTCACCCCCTGACCTCGTGGGGGTCATGACCTCCACAGCCCCACTCATAGTGGCCCAGTCTGTCTGGTGTGTACTGACCCTGCTCACGGCAGTTTTATCACCCCTCCCAGGCCTTAAGCCTCTGGAACTTGCTGGCAAGTGTGGTTCTTCACTGTGATTTTTGGCACTGTGTACCACCCCTTTGCCTTCTGTGGACCCCACCATCCATGTCTGGCCTGCAGTCTACTGATCTCTTCCCTGCCCAGACTGTACCTCCACCTGGGTGCACTGCTGAGCTAAGACCAACTTGGGGAAAGGCAGGCTGCTTTCCTCATGCCGGTCAGCCTTGGCCCTAGTTCCAGACAGTCTGTTTTTCTGAACTGAAAGGAAGCGTGGGAGAAGGTTCTGGAAGGCGGCTCCGTAAATAGCAGATAAGTGAAACACACTTCGGCTGATGAAGCCAGAACCAGTCATGAAGTATCTTGATTAATTTGTTTTCTGAACAGATCGCAAACACTGGCTTTCCTCTGAAGTAATATTTGATGAGTTTCAAAACAATCTTTTACAGTAACAGGCAAAACTGACTCACAGGGCAATAAAACTGGGCTCTCTCACTTCCCTTGGCATAGGAAATCATCTCCATAAGTCAATTTTTCTAAACCACCTCTCTTTCGATGCTGGTTTCAGCCAAGAAAATAATCAGGACATGAACCCTGTGGTGGGTGCTGAGCAGAGCTCATGAGCCTACATCCCTGGGCTGTGTGGGTGGAGCAGACACTTAGCACAGTTAGATGTCCTTCCTCAGAACCCAAGAGAAGGTCTTCTAAGCAGAGGGTGCCACTGCCTTGGGATTACAAATGACACACCTCTCAATTTTTCGTCTGTGATAGTTTCCGTTTGGGTGACAAGTGAAATCGCGGTAATGTGGGAAACACTTGTGTGAGCCCGTCTACTCTGTGATACCTCAGTGGCACCTTTTCAACCGGGTAACAGATTTGATCCATCAAATTTGATATCATCCAAAAACAAGAAAATATGGCAAGTGGCTAGAGGCTGGGAGTACTGTTTGCTTTTCTAGAGGACCTGATTCTGATTCCCAGAGCCCATAGGTGGTTCGTAACTGTTCATAACTCCAGTTTCAGGAAATCCAACACCTTCTTCAGGTTTCCCTGGGCGTTGCATACACACGGTACACAAACAGGTATGCAGACAAATCACCCACACACCTAAAATGCAGGACTTGAAAACAGCTGCAAGAGGGAGGATAAAAAACAAATCGTGTAGACAGCCCAAGACATGCTCTGAGGTGTAACTGTAAGGCCTTTCCCACTGAGGAGAGTTTCCCTCATCACTTCAGCGGGCCCAGACTGCTCCTGCATCCTCGATGCTACATCCCACAGGACTGCTGTTATACTGCCCTGGGCTGAAATCACGCCACACTGATTCACCTTCACCTTCTCTCTGTGGACATGTGCTAGGTTGGTTCAACCTCAGGGAAGGCTGCCTTGCCAACTCTGATGTCTTTCTCTGAAACTCAAACAAGAACACGTCTTATCACTGACCACGGTGTCCACTGCCTAAACTGCCAGGCTGCGCTGTCTCCCTGTGTTGCTTTCTCCTTCAGTTACTCATTCATCCAGTGCCAGCTTGGGGACCAGTGGGCCAGATGATTGGAAGCATAAGCTTATATTGTGCCCAGTACATAATTCCCCATTTTGTCTTTGTTGCATCTTTGCTATGGAAATGGCTCCACACAGTGGTGCGGCTGAGGGATGACATGCCACACTCCTATTTCAGCTATCCTGCTTTAGGCAGGCAGACAGGAGTTGCTAATTATTTGGTAGCATTAAATTGAGTTGTATGAAAATTTATTAACACTAATATTTACGCCACCAATACAAACTCCAGTAGAATCTTCTATAAATATCACAATATCTATCATAACAGGGAAGAGTCAATATTGATTTATAGCAGTGGTTCTCAAACTGTGGGTTGAAAACCCCTCTGGCAAACCTCTATCTCCCAAAATATTTATATTACAATTCATAAAAGTAGCCAAATGACAGATATGAAGTAGCAACTAAAATAATTTAATGGTTGGGGGTCACCACAACATGAGGAGCTGTATTAAGCTGTCGAAGCATTAGGAAGATTGAGAACCAGAGTTACAGAAATAAAAGCCAAAGCCAGATTTCTACCTAATTGGACTGATGTGTAGTCACCTCCTTGAAGTGTGGTGGGGGCGTTATACAAGTGTGTTCATGTGTGTATGGTCAGCATGCATTCAGGTATAAAGCTTAGAGGTCTATGTCAGTGCCTTTCTCAAGTGCTCTTTAATTTTTAAATTATTTTATTAATTTGTTTTTTGACAATTCCATACATCTGTACAATACATTCTGGTCACACTCATTCCTTCACTCTTTCTTATTCTCCTCCTATTCCACCAAGCCCCAAACCCACTTTCATGTCTTGTTTTTGCTTTGTGATTCTCCAGGTTTAATCAGAGCCATGAACATGGGCTTGAGTGTGAAGGATCCACTGGATCGTGGATAACTCTTTTTTTTTCAGTTCCACATGGGAGGTTTATTAGGGGAAGGGGGGAGAGGGGAGGAGAGAAAGGGTAAGAGAGTAAGGAAGAGAGAGGGAAAGAAAGGAGGAGAGGGGGAGGGCTCCAGTTCTCTTATAGGGTAATCCAGGGCATGCGCAGGTAGTTCCAGGTGGTCAGGGTGTCTTCACAAATGCCTGATAACCGGTTAGGTCCCTTGGAGCTGGCCGTAGAAGTGCCTGCCTACTGATCCCAACATTCCTCCCCTTTTCTATAATTAAAAATAGGGAGCTTGGGCTGCCTTTTATATGGTAAGTTAAAGTATATAAATTTAGGCTCATTGGAAGCAGCTCTTGGTTGTCATGCAAGAGGTTGAGAGAGAGAGAGGAATTATAGTAACAAAATGATTAGGTTGTAAGGTTAAGAATAAGAGAAGTCTCTGCCCTGGAAAATTTAGGGTAGAGGGTTGTCAATAGAGAGAGTTGCTAGCCACGCAAGGCAGCAGCAGGTAGGAACGGGGGAAACGCTGGGAGAACCTGGAGCTGCTTGTCCTGGTCCTGAAGCACACCACTTCAGCCTTTTGTTAACAACAAGTGAATAACGGGCGTAGATTCTCTTCTGGCTACTTCCTGCTGACACTGGGGGCGCTGTAGGGAGGTCAAAAGGCTGAAATGTTGGCCAAGTCCATGAAGAACTGGCTGTTTTGATGCTTTCCAGGGTCTGCAAGAACATCCATGGCTGGGAGGGAAGGTGCAGGTCCAGCTTGTTGGAAGTCTGTGAGGTCAGAGCTGAACACCTGCAGCTTGTTGGAAGTCCGTGAGGTCGGAGTTGAACACCTGTAGCTGCTTTGGCGCTGTTGTGGCTGTAGGAAACATCTGTGTCTGGCAGGACACTTATAAAAGGCAGCCCAAGCTCCCTATTTTTAATTATAGAAAAAGGGAGGAATGTTGGGATCAGTAAGCAGGCACTTCTACGGCCAGCTCCAAGGGACCTAACCCCGTGGATAACTCTTAAGTGGCTTTATCAGTGAAGGCAGGGATTTCCTCTTTCCCCAGCAGCCCTCCAATGCTATTTACTCCCTGGGTGAGGAGGGGTCTCATAAGCCTCTTCCCCATCAATGACTGAATATTTTGGGGCTCTGACTTGTGCAGACAACTGTAGTGATTGTGAGTTCATGAGTGTCCCAGTCACTCCTTGCCTATATGATAGCATCTCATGTCCCTCCTCCCTACCAGCCATCCCTTCATTCTTTCTCCTCCCTCTTCCATAATGCTATCCAAACCTTGGAGATGATGCGATTGTCTTGTGTAAGGCTGAACATACATAGTTACTGGTTCCCAACATGGTCACCAACCATGAGTTTGTATTAATCAATGTTCCCTTCGAGGACAAACTTCTTTGAACAAAACTGAGGATAACACTAATCTATAGGCCAAACATAAATACTTAATATGCAGTTTGATAATATGTCCACTTAGTAAAATATGCATAGTAGGCATACCCCTAGAGCCAATGGCTTTCCTAGCCATGGAATTTTGACTAAATCCATAGTCCTGGGCTTGAGCTCATTCCTACAATGTGGGCCTCATATCTAACTTATAAACTCAGTCGGTTACCCCGTAACAGCTATTTCACTACTGCCTAAGTGGCACGTTTGATATTAGATCTTTCTCTCTCACCCTACACAAAACTCTTCATTTGGCTGACAGGGTCTTAGCTGTGTAGAACCTTTTTAGTTTCATGAAATCCATTTGTAAATTGTTTGTCTTATTTCCTGTGCTACCAGAGCTTATCTGGGCCCACAGGTGGAAGTGTATTCCCTACTTTTTCCTTTCACAGTTTCAAAAGATCAGGGTTTATGCTAAAGTCCTTGACCTACTTGGATTTTGAGTGTTGTGCAGGGTAAGAAATAATGACCTACTTTCATTATTCTTCATGTTGATATCCAGTCTTCTCGGCATATTTGTTGCTGATGCCAGGAAGAAGCTGCAGTGGGCGGGTCCACCCTTTTGCTCAGTGGCAATGGGTGGACCTTGGAGAGGCAGCCTCAGGGCTTTCGTCTCAGGATTGCTTCTTGCCGCTGCTGTGCCTTCTCCTGTTCGTCATTGCTGTCGTCCTCATGTATCTGGCATGGTGTGATTGGGTGTGGGAGACCCTCACTGCCTATCGTCTGGTATGATTGTTTTCTGGGTGACAGCCCACTCACTGGGCAATTTTCCTGCTCATCAATATGAAGATGAACGTTCATGAAATAATATAGGTGGGATGAATTGATGATTTTTACAGAGTTACTGGTTTGATCTAAACAGTTTTAGAAAGTTAGGTTAAGATGTTTTTGTCAGTGGCTCTGATACAAAAAAATCTTGAGGAACAATTTAAAGTTCAGAAAAGTATACTCTTAATAGCTGAGCTAGGAACTTTTTGAGGTTGACAAGCAAGCTGACGTGACACTCTCGCTGAAGCTGATCCTCAAGGTGATTAATTTCTCATATCCATTTTTGCCCTCAAGATTTAATAAAAATTGTTAATGAGTAAATGTGCACCTTGAGGATTTAAAGTAGAAATGGCTGGCTGTTTTTTATATTCACATATGTGAGTCTTTCAAGATTTTTGTAAGATTACTTTTTAAGATAATTGATTCTTTCTTTGTAACCATAAACTGCAGCCTTGCCAGTCAAGAAAAACTAGCTGAAAAAAAAATTACCTTCCTTACACTTTGTTAATCTGTAACAAGTTGCTTAGTTACAAATGTTTGTGGGTTCTTGGGAATAATTTGTTTTTAACTCATAATATCCAAAACATGATCATGTAAGGGTATTGGGGAACGTGTTTTTTTTTTTTTCTACATATACTGTTGTGCCCTTTTAAAAACTATTTTAATTGGTTTCTTTCCAACTATGTTGAGTGCCACCTATTGTGCTAGTTTTAAAACTATTTTATTAATTCCTCTTTTTCCTTGCTCCATCCCAATCCCTTCCAACACCCCAACACTAGGTAGGAGAGAAAGAAGGTTAGTGGGGAGAGAAGGAATAGTTACCGTTAGCTACTTCCTTCTTGTTAGGGTCACTGGATTCCTTGCAGCAAGTCCAATCTTCATTTCAGGATGCCTCCAACTTCTTGTCAAACTGCAACAGTATCGACCAGGAGCAGCAGGGGGCAGCAGCAGCACCCTTCTTTCTAGTGCCCCCTTTCTCTCCCTCTGGGCTCTGGCATTTATTCTCTGGAGCTTTAAACTATCTGCAGCTGGCAAAGAGCCCCTCTCAGAGCCTGCACAAAGCAAATAGTTTGCTGCTGTGGACCATCTGAATCAGCCCCATATCCTACACCTGGGATTGAAACAAAAACATGTTTACATGACATGACTAAGTTTTTAAAGACAACAAAATTTCCACAACAGTATACTCTTTGTAATCTTTCACATAAAAAGAAATGCAATCACATTATGGTTGTTTTGTTTTGGTTTTTTTTTTTTTTTCTTTTTCAGAAAGATTTTACTGGCCTATATAAGCTGTGGGAGGAAAAAAATAATAAGTTGTTGGAGTCACTCCATCCACCCGATATGTACATGTGTATATGTGTATGTTTGTAAAATGATTGGAGCTGTTGAAGCTTTGCCCCATCCGCCCAATGTGTGAATGTGTGTATGTGTGTATTTGTGTATGTATGTATGTATGTATGTGTGTGTGTGTGATTTGTTTAAGCTTGTTGGAATGTGCTCGTTGAAGCTTCTCATGCTTCATCCATCACAAGTGTGCATGCATGTATGTGTGCATGATTCCCCTCCCCTTTCTTTCTTTCTCGTTAGCCCCCAAAGAGTTCAAAAAGTTCAAACAGTTTAAAGTCTCTACCAGTCACAAGCAGTGCTGGCCCCCAGTCACCAGGAACCATCAGCTATAGCCCCTGCAGTCTACCCTGACCTGTCGAAACTGCTCCTCGGCAGGTGCTGTTTTTTTCTCCAGTGTATATTTCAGATAGCTATAGTTGCATAGACTTCTATCTGGTGCCTCTGTTCTAGTCCATTGGTTCATATGCTCATTTTTGTGTGTCATTATCATACTGTTTTCTTTCTCTTTCATTTTTTATTTTGAGACAGGCTCTCACTATGTATCTCTCATAGTGTATGTCTCACTATGAAAGATACATATGAGGTATACTGTTCTGGAACTCACTATGTAGACCAGGCTGGCCTGCAATTCACAGAGATCCACCTGCCTTTGCCACCGAGTGTTGGAATTAAAGGTGCATGCCACTATGCCTGGGTACCATACTGCTTTCTTTTGCCACGTCTCTGTATTATAGCTTGAAATCAAAATGGTGATGTGCTCCCACAGGATTCTTTGTGCTCAGAATGGTATGACTACCCTAAGTCTTTTGTGCTCTGTAAAAATTTTAAGAGCTTCTTTCTGTGTCTGTGAAGAATAGCCCTGGGTTGTTTTTGTTTGTTTGGTTGGTTGGTTGGTTGGTTGGTTTGGCTTGGTTTTGAACTGTATTGAATTTGTAGATATTTTTGGTTAGGATTACTGTTTTCACAGTTTCAGTTTTTTTGATCCATGAGCATGGAAGGTCTTTTTTATATTTTCATCTTCTAACATTTTCTTTGACGTTTTATCATTTTGGGGTGTGTGAATGCTTTGCCTACATGTATGTATTTGTGCGGAGTGAGTGACTGGTTCTCTTACAAGTCAGAAGAGGCCATTGGATCTCCCGGAACCATAGTTACAGATGGTTGTGAGCTTCCATGTAGATTCTGGGAACTGAATCTAGGTCTTCTACAAAAGCAACAAGTGCTCTTAACCATTAAACCATCACACCAGTCCTTCATCAAGCATTTTAAAGTTTTCATTGTAGACATCTTTTGTTTCCTTAGTTAAATTTATTCCCAGGTGGTAGTATTTGTGACTGTTAAGAATGGAATTGTTTAGGTGTACAGAGTTTAGTAGGTTTATCCTATAAAATCTGTACACCTAAAGAAACTAATGAAGAGGGAAGACTCTGGCTAAAATACTCCACCCCCACTCCGAAAGGCAAAGAGGATGGACACCAGAAGAAAAAGAAAACAGGAAACAAGTTAGGAGCCTCCCACAGAGGGCCTCTGAAAGGCTCTGCCCTGCAGACTCTCAAAGCAGATGTTGAGACTTATGGCCAAACTTTGGGCAGAATGCAGGGAATCTTACGAAAGAACTGGGAAATAATATTTAAATCTGGAGAGGCTAGGAGGTCCACAAGGAGAGCAACAGAACCAAAAAATTTGAGCACAGGGGTCTTTCCTGAGCCTCATACTCCAACCAAGTACCATGCATGGAGATAACCTAGAACCCCTGCACAGATGTAGCCCATGGCAGTTCAGTGTTCAAGTGGGTTCCATAGTAATGGGAACAAGGACTGCTTCTGACATGAACTGATTGGCCTGCTCTTTGATCACCTCCCCCGGAGAGGGGAGCAGCCTTACTAGGCCACAGAGGAAGACAATGCAGCCACTCCTGATGAGACCTAACAGAATAGGATCAGAAGGAAGAAAAAGAAACCCTCCCCTACCAGTGGACTTGGGGAGGGGAGTGTGTGGAGAAGGGGGAGGAACGGAGGGATTGGGAGGGGAGGAGGGAGGGAACTAAAGGAGAGATACAAAGTAAATAAAGTATAATTAAAAAAAAAAATAAAAAAAGAATGGAATTATTTCCTTGATATTTTTCAAATACATTTGTCATTGGTGTGTGTGTGTGTGTGTGTATACATACATACATACATACATATATACATATACATATATATATGAAGGGCAGCGGCTTGTGTTGGTTAATTTCATAACCTGTCACTTTGTTTAACAAATCCACAGGCCTTCCCACACTCTTTCTGCCCACACTTGTGAATCTTCAGAGATATTTCGCTGCGGCAGGACGGTGAGCCTTGCAGCCTCTGCTTAAGAGCTAGGCAGGATGAGGAACAGCCAGCAGAGGGAGGGCTGTGCAAGCTCAGGATGCCGAGGGAAGTAGTGGCTCAACTAGGGCAGGTGTGGGATGGAGAAGATGGCACCCGTTTACCTGCTGCAGAGCTGCAAGGTGCAGTGTTTTGTCCTGAGGGCGCTCATTTCCTGACCTTCATAGCCATGACCCCCTAGACAGTGAGCACTGCCTACAGTGTTCCATTTCCTCTCCCTGGCCAAGTTATAAGTTTCCCAAATGGGAGGAGCCTGGGGAAGTCCCAGGAGCTGGCTGCATCCAGTTGCCATGGCAATTAGGGGAAAAGCAGGTCAGGCCAAGAAGCTATGAATTGTGCATAAAGGTTTCTGAGTCTCTGAAACCTAGAGATTCAACTCCCTGGTGTATCTTGGAAAAGAAAACCCTCACAGGTTACAAGAAAACCTGTAATGGAATTTTATTGCTGCATTGCTATATAGGAGCAAAGAAGAAGCAAGAGAAAGGATTATGAGAGCTATGAACAATGCCCATAAGAGTCTGCTCAAACTGTGGAGAGCCCAAAAAAAGCTTCCAGAAGAAAAGCTATCTTCAAACACTACCTTCAGGATGTTGCGTGACAAATGCAGCCTCAGAGAAAAGGTCAAATAACGTCTGGTTATGAGACTCAGCATGATTTATAACAGTGGCTTGGACCAACCTTAGCATCTTAGGGGAGGTGTGCTGTAACCCTGACTCACAGGCTACATATACAGGTGCCTGCCTCACAGGAACATCTGCCCTGTGCAGAGGATTGTACAATATGGTTTATAGGACCTGTGCAGTCGTGTAACAGCGTTGGGCTATGTTGACAGGTCAGGGTGATGAAAACAATTGAAAAGGATAGGGCATCTCTAAGTCTCTGGCTTGTCTTGGGAGGACTGAGGCTGGAATGACCACATAGCTGTGAACATGGAGTATTTTTGTGTAAAATGAAGGATAACTGGAAGTCCAGCAAAGAACCACTCTCAGGACAGCACTAGAACCTGATAGAACTTAATAAATGAAACTGGCAGCATACACCTGGCTGCATTTCAGAGTAACTAGGGAAAACCATCTGTGTGGGATCCGTTACTACCCTTAGTTTGTTCATCTCACGTGTTGTGTTCTCAAAACTGTGGGGGAGGGCAGGTGGCATGGTGAATCTTGAAAGTCAACTTGATGGGATTTAGGGTCACCATGGAGACAGATCTCATTCTCTACATTAGGCTAACTGAGCTGGAAAGACCCACCCTCCTTGTGGATGGGACCAGCTCATGGCTGGGGTCCCAGGCAGTGAAAAGGAGAAAGTGCGTTGAGCACAGGCACACATTTCTTTAGGCTTCCTGAGTGTGAATGTGATTCGGTCATCACCTCCATCACTTCCCCACCACAGTGAGCAATACTCGGGAACCATGGAGAGCTAAAATAAATTCTTCCTTAAATTCCTTTTGTTGGTTATTTTTTCACAACAGTGAAACAAGTAACTAACACAGCACAAAGCTTGCCTTTACAATTTACAGGACTCCCCAAGGAACCATACCAGAAAGCAGTACCCAGGGATCCTACCTGTTACTGGACCTGTTGACTTCTAATCAAAAGCCATAATGCTTAGTTAAGAAAAAGCTAGGTACACTTTCTTTATGGGAGCAAAGCCTGGGCACACGCATGCCACTCCCAGGCTGAGAAGAGCGCATTTCTCTTCTTCTACAATCATCTGGCCCCCCCAACAAAGTGGTGTAAAGGTGAGGCTAGCCTTTGGAAGACTGACCACTTCCATAAAAGGTTCTTTCTTTAACACCTTCTGTTAGAATGGAGATGCCATTCTGTGAGGAACCTGCACATAAAATGGCCGTTTAGAAACCACAGCCACCGGTTAATCTCACCAAGCCAGGGCAGCCAGTATCCCACGTGGCCATGGCCAGCACTGAGAAAAGGCCGTGGTGCTCATTCCCATACACATGATTGCAGCCAAGCCAAAATGAGTGGATGCCCCAGGCTTCTCAGCTTCTAGAACTGAGGAAGATAACAAAATGGCTATTCTTTTGCATTTCCAAGTTTGATGGTGTTTTGTCGCTAACATAAGATGGTAAAAACTGACCGAAATACAACACTGGGCAGGTCTCCGGAGGCTGTGTGCATTTGATCGCAAAAAGCGTGATTTAAGCTTGCTTGCACTAATTGTCTAATACTCTCTTGGATATAATTGCAAATTACCCGAGTCATGCTTTCACAGGATAAGAGAGGGAAGAAATGTTTTGATTTGATTTATCTCCAATTTATCCACATTAATCTCATTCACACACAGCCTGTATTTTAACACTTCCTCAGATGGGGAGAGGATAAAAAATACAAAGCTCAAGGTCAAGTTGGTCAACAAGAACTTAGCCAATACTGAGTCAGTTTTGTTGAGCTGTGACTTCCTGCAGTCAGGGATGCTTTTTCTGTGCTGAGACCAGAAGACCAAGAAGTCCCATTGTTTTCACAGTGAAACATAAATGCAGGCCAGCTCCAGGGCTGGTGACAGCCTCCATATCTTAAGGATCACTTCCTTAAGTCCCACACAGCTGACTGTCCCCAGAATCACTTACACAAGTTTTCTAGGCTGTTTGGCGAGACAGCTTGAATGCTGAAGGGCCCTGTGCTTCTATGTTCTAAGTCTTCCATGCTTACCACCCTCCTGGTACCTGCTGTCACTGTCCTGACCTTAGACTGTTCCTTCACATTCCCAACCTTCATGGCTTTTGAGTTTCTGTCCAACCCTGATGGACACTCTCAAAAAATGCCATAGTCCCATTGTATGGGTCCCTGAGAACACCATCTCTTCCCTGTAGCCCTGAGCCCATCCTGCACTGATGTCACCCTTCAGGGAGCTACAGCCCCAGGACACAAGGAAACGTATTCCTCTCACCTTCATCATAGATCCTGCTGCTTTGTCCTGTATACCTGCGCTTCTGCAGACGTCAATATCTGAAATTTTGTGTTTAGTCAATTCTGCATCTTCCTGCACATCACAGCTCCTGGACCACCAAGATGGAGCAATAGCTTGTGTGTTGTTTTAAACTTCCATCACCATGTCAGATTGTAGATGTTCTGTATGTACACAGCTAAACCATTGCCACTTCTTTCTGCAGAGTTTTTCTTGTGCTGGCCGTCAGAGGACAGCCAGTCAGAAATCCAGTGGTAAGAACGCTCCTGCCCTCACTTGTCTACAGTTATCCCATCCCTGAGACATCAACAGAAGCCACCTTGGTACCTGATGATATAACCTGTAATCACAAGAATGCTCCATGAAGAAACAGAAGATTGCTGTGTTGATGGAACCTGAAACATCATCCCAATCTATGAAACCCTGTTTAAACAGTGCAGGCATGGGACTAAGAGGAGCTATGGATGATCTCCTCTGTCCAATGAAAGGCAAGAATTGCAGGTGGCAGCTAAACTCCTCCTGGAATTCCCACCTAGCCGGAAATACATCGCACACCTACATGCGCACCTGCACTGAGAAGAGGAATAGAATTTTCCGCCAGTCTTAGATAGGCTAAAACCTGTGGAAAGTCTGTTGCTTTGTTTTTTGGGTTTTTGTTGCTGTTGTTGTTGTTTGCTTGTTTTGTTTTTTGACCATGCTAACTACTGGCCCCACAAAACACACGTAAGACAGAAGTTGCTTAGTTAGTTTGGGGGACAAGAAACAAGTAAGCTAAGACAAGTAAGCTAAGAAGGGTAGAGAAGGCCTGGGAAGGGACAGAGCCTGTTAGGGCTGATATTGCTTGTTAGCACTTGAGGAAGGCAGGGAAAGGCAAATCTATAGAGGTAAGTGGCCTATTGTAAGACACCTTGGAAATGCGAACTTGACTGTAGCCCTTGGAGAGCTTATAGCAGGATGTCTTAGGGTTTTATTGATGTGAAGAGACAGTATGACCAATGCAGCTCTTTTTTTTTTTAAGGATTTATTTATTTATTACATGTGCTCTATCTGCATCTACAATTGCATGCCAGAAGAGGGCATCAGATGATTGTGAGCCACCATGTGGTTGCTGGGAATGGAACTCAGGACCTCTAGAAGAACAGCCAGTGCTCTTAACCACTAAACCATCTCTCCAGCCCCAAAGCAACTCTTATAAAAGAAAACATCTAATAGGAGCTGATTTACAGTTTCAGAGGTTTAGTCCACGATCATCACAGTGGGAAGCATGGTAGCATGCAGGCAGACATGGTGCTGGTGGAGATGAGAATTCTACATCTTGATCTGAAGGCAACCAGGAAGAGACTGTCTCCTGCTGCTGTCTTCCACACTGGCCATAGCTTGAGCATAGAAGACCTCAAGGCCACAGCGATGCACTTCCTCCAGCAAGGCCACACCCCCTAATAGTGCCACTTCCTGTGGTACAAGTATTCAAACATATGAGTCTATGGAAGCCAAACCTATTCAAACCACCAGGATTATACAACAAAGGCCATTTTGTATAGAAAGTGATAGGTATTCTCTTCCAACAAAAATGAACCAATTCAAGCCAAATTAAAAGTATAAAGGCAGGTTTATTGGGAGCAGCTCTCTCAGGTGGGTTTGCCAGTCCCATGGAATGGGGCCAGGGAAGTTGCCATACAAACAGGGAGACAGAGAAGGGTGCAGGGGAGGAAGGAAGAAAGCGTGTGTGCAAGGAGGGGGCAGAGAGAGAGAGAAGAAAGAAAATAAAAATATCTGGATTATATAGCAAAGAGCCTCTGGGGAAGAGGAAGCCCAGCTCCTGGACTGGAAAGTTCCAGTAGGGAGTGAGGGATGCTGGAAGAACCTGGAAGCCAGGTGTGCTTTGGTATGTTAAATTAAGCACCTCAGCTGCTTGTCTCAAGTCTGCAACCCAACAGAAAGGTCAACATTGCTTCTCTGAAGGGCTGACTGGCAGGAGAGCTGTCTACACAAGGGTTCAACACTTTGCTGTGGGAAACTAGGTCCCAATCAAAGTGCACCAGCTTCCCCAGATTTTTCTTTTTTTTATTTTCATTTATGTATGGGAGTCACGGGTATGGTGTATGTGCAAATGGGCACACCTATGCATTCGTGACACATATGGAGGTCAGAGGTTGATGCTGAGTGCCTTCTATCATACTATTTACTATTTTACTATTTTTTAACAGGGTCTCACTGTGGATCTGGAGCTTTCTCATCGACTAGACTGGCATCCAGCAATTCCCTGGGATCCTCCTGTCTCTGCCTTCCCATCACTGAGGTTACCAAAATGCACTGCCATCCCCAGCTGTTTACACAGGCTCGGAGAATTCAAACTTGGGTCCTGTGCTTGTGCAGCCATCACTTTAATCTTTGAGTCATCCTCCTGTTCCACATTTTACTGTTTCAGGAGATTGTTAGTGTAAAACCAAATATCAGCCAACATTAATTTGGCGAAGTCAGGGAAAGCCATCAGGAGGACATAAAAGAGATAACAAACTTGGCTTCCCAAGTTTATATCCAGACAATGAGTTGCTTGCCTTCCTAAGACTAACAATAATAGCATAATAGAATAAAGATGGAATCTTCATTATCACTGTATCTCAATATCTAATTTATTGAAAAATGTTGTTCTTTTCAATTTGCATTTCAAAGTACCATTCTCCTCCACTGTGCCAAAAGCCTCCATTTGTTTGTAAGAGGATTTAAATAATTAGATCAGAAAAGCATGAAAAGAAAGTCGATTTTCAGCTTTAACTAGAAGAAAATGCATTTGTGAGTTCCCTAGAAACAGGATAGTTTTGACACTTCTGTGAGTGTCTAAGCCAGGCTTGGCAAGCCTAACTCTACATTCCTGTTACACAAAGAATGGAGATGCTTCAGGGGGCTCTGGTATGCACAAAGGAGAAAAGCCTCCTCTGACTTTTCCCTCTGAGAGGACATGGGAAGGAAAATGTGATTGTTGGTTTTAACTATCAATATGATACAGTCTAGAGCCACATGGGAAGAGTCTCAAGAAGGAGTTATCAAGATTATTCCTCCTGAGTTTGCCTTCGAAGGTTATCTTTTGTGTGTGTTGACTGATGAGAGAAAGGAGACATCACCATTCCCTGGCTTGGATCCTGAACTGTTTAAGAGCAGAGAAAGCAAGCTAAGCAGAAAACATGTGTTGGTGCATCTTCTCTGCTCCTGATTGTGCATGCATCTAGGTGCTTCAGGCTCTCGCCTCAGTTCCTCTGCCGTGATGGACTGTGATCTGCTCTGTGGCTGAAAACAAACCCTTTCTCCCCTAACTTGCTTTTATGGAGGATAGTATATGACAGCAGCAGAATGAAACTAAAGCAGATGGTGAAGACAGACTGAAGAAGCCCACTGCCAGTGTCTTAGATATCTGTCTGCCCTCCACGGCATCCTCGCTGGATGTGGGGGTAGCACTGCCAGGCATGTTTGGGAAATCAGATCTTTAGGTGCTAGAGATGACAAAGCATGCATTCAGAGACAGTGAGAAACCCTTTCCTTGTGCATCTGTAGAGGAGTCAGAAATTTCTCTTCTTCCACGAAAGGATTCAGTGTATCCAAGAAGGCCTGTGGATGAAGTGTATGCATGACTCAGCAGACCATAGGGTCCATTGCAGGCATGAGCCTCGTAAGGAAACTCAGAGAATACCATAGCCCACTTGCAACTAAAGACGTGGAGAGAGGGCAAGGGACCCCGGAGCTTCCCCCTCCCCATGCCAAGGTTGTGTCCATTCTCTCATTTAGCTGGAAGTCCTCTGGGAATGTATGAGACTCAAGAAGCAAGCTGAGATGCTGTGTGCTTTGTTACCCTTCCTGGGAAGACAGGGAAATGTCCATTTTCCCCAGATAGTGCACTGAGGCCAATGAAACAAGCTCAGTGTGAAGAAACAATGAGCTTAGGGAGGTGCCTAGGAAAGCACAGATGGTGGAAGGTCATTTATAAGAGTTCGGGTGATTCAAAACTTCATCAACAAAATGTTCCACCCAAACATGGATGACAATTCACACAAGAGCAGCCTCATTGGAGTCCCGCCTCCTCCAACCCATCTTTCATCTCCTATTTATGTTAGCATATCCATGCAGCTGGGGAACAGACAGAAGTAGTAGTTAGACTCTCAGGTAGGGATCCAGGGAGGCCCACAGTTTTTTTTAACTAATGAATATTAATAGCCTTGACTCTAACACATAGAACCAATGAGATGGTTAGTTATTGTCAACATCACTAGGTTTAAAATCATCCAGGAGGTTGAGTATACCTCTGGGAGGAAGTAGGATATGTGTGGGAATTCACTGCTCTCTGGTTCCTTATTGACCAAGATGTGAACAAGCAGCTCTATGTTCCCCAGTCACCATAGACAAGAGATGGTCCTGCCACTACATCTTCCCGGCCAAGATGAACTAAACATTCAGATCCCAAGACAAAATAAACCCTTCGTCCCACTGTCCACAACACCCTGTGTTTCACTGTATCTTCTGGTTTACTCTGTCACCATGACTGTGGAGCTGGGGGTCTTGTGCATGTTCACAGCCTCTCTAATCAAGAGGGCTGAGGTTCATGTCATCCCTAGGGGAAACAGCCTCATCATGATACAAAGGCAGCTGGACACAGTTACCTCTGGCTTCTTTCTCTTCTGTAACACTTGGGAGTGTCGTAAGGACATTCAGTGACTTGAAACTGTAAAATCTGTGTCTTCTTCACACTGTAGAGTGTACTCATGGGACAGATGGTTCAAGATTCCCAGTGGATGTGCAAAACCTTGAATGCTACGGTACCCTTACATTTAGGGTTTCCCCTACATATAGACATGTACAAAGCTTAAACAGTAGTTACAACACACACTCATGAAATTACTTGAATACGACCTCACTTTCTTGAAAGAGATAAGATAATATCAGGATGGCGATGAACTGCCGAAACTGAGGAAGGCAGACCTGCAAATGAGACAGACCATCAGGCAGTTTCTTTTTTTACTTCCTCTGTGTTTAATTCTTGTGGCTCATGAGAAAAACAGCCATCCTCTTTGTTTTATTAAACTGAACGTACCTGCTGTCTGGAACATAATGTGGAGTGACTAACCTGGCTAATTAACATACGTGGTGCCTTGTGTCACTTTATATTTGTGGCAAAAACATGTAACACCAAGTTCCTTAGCATTTTCGAGAACACAATTCAGGGTTGGGCACGGCTCCATGGTTGAGCATTTACTTAGCATGATCACAGTCCTAGGCTCAGCTCCCAGAAGTGCAAATAGAAGTCACATTATCTAGGTAAGCAGTCAAAGCCCATGAGAGGAGAGCTCCTCCTGGTCACAAGGAGTAGAGACCTGACATTCCAGTTGGCCTGTGTCAACTACCTAGCTAAGAGACCACCCTGCAGGAAGGCAACATCACCTCTAGGAACCTGGGTTCACCATAAGCCATGCTGAAAAGATAGGCGGGGATCTTTCCAGAATCCCACACTCCAAGCTGCCATGCAGCTTTGTAAGTCTATCTGCTTTCTGAATTATTCAAAAAAGTGTTAACTTCCCCTTTCTATCTCATGACTATGGATGCTCTCCCACCACTTTGGGCTTCTTCAGTGTTATGGGCTTTCTTAGTTTTTTTTCTAAAGCTTCCTTCACTGCCATGTGTTTGCTTGTCCACCGCATGTCTGACCTCCTTCCTAACTTAAACAGTGTGGGATTTTCCTTTCTCTCCTCAAGTCTCCATCTCTCTAAAGATGCTGAGATTACAGCTTGCCTGCTTGAAGGGGATGTTCTCTTAAACTCTAGTAAAACTCTCCAATCTTCTGTTTGCATCCATTATTGGTTTTTAAAACTATTTTATTTTGAGAGTATGAGTGTTTTGGCTGGATCAATGTACATGCTTCACTTTCTCATCATGACCAACAGAGGCTAGAACAGGGTGTCAGATCCCTTGGAATTGGAGTTAGAGACACTTGTGAGCCATCATGTATGTGCTGGGAATCTAACCCAGTGCTCTTAGCCACTGAGCAACTGCTTTGGCTCCCCCTTAAATTATTTTATTAGGGAGACTAAAAGCCCCAAAATGGGACCCATATTTTCCTCTGTATCTCTCTGTGGCAACCACAGAGAGACTTCCCAAATGCTAGTAACAATAGTTGGATACACCATACTCCTTGCCATGGTTCTCAAGTTGCCATGTACAGGAAGTTTATATCTTAATCATTGTAAGAATTCCACATTCACCACTGGCTTTCTGAACTCTGGGATATTTTCTGAATGCACACTGAGAGAAACCGAGTCATAATTAGACTTTGATTTTATAATAAGGAATCAAGTTTCCCCGGTATCTTACCTGCCCAGTGGAACCTGTTATCCACCTCCAGTTTCCAATATAGTTTTTGTCCATAAGATGGAGCCAAAGAGCTACCAAATGCTGCAGCCCTCTGGAAGCTCCTGGCTGCTTCTGGGGCTAAATCCCTCCATTTTCTGAGATGGGTGAGGTGGGTGCTAGGCACCTGGACATGGCTCACACAAGTCCTGTCTTTGGTGTTTCTACCACCCAGGGCCGACTGGAAGCGGACACAGAAAGTGTTTCACCTGGAAGGATTTCTGCCAATCTTAAACAGAGTGAAAGCAAAGGAAGAACAACTACCAGCGCTATTTACGAAGGAGTAAAGCCTCAGACATCACAGGAGTCCAGATTGCCAGAGCTCTTGATGGTGGATTTTAATCAAAATGCAGCCAGCTGCCTGTGTTTAACTGTCGAGCTCTTCGTCTCAGCCAATCACTGCACTTCTGAGCTGGCACTGTGACAACAGCAACTGAAACACAAAACTCTTCCTGACTCATTTGGCTGGGGTTGGGATGGGCTAGAGGGGTGGGGTGGGGTGTGAATCAGTTCTAGGTCTGGTCAGTCTTGGTATGAAGGACTTTGCTGGCTTTGTCTATGCCTGGAAATTTCTCTTCACCTTCAGGATGCACCCGTAGTACAGTCAGAAACCTACAAAACCCCAGTCCTCCCCTCCTGCCACCAAAAAGCAGTGTGGCATCTTCCTGAGGTAACGCTTTTGTTGGGGCCTACCGTGAGCTTGGCCCCAGAGAAGCCGCCTTACTAGCTTCCTCTGCTCCCTGATCAGCACCCAGGGTTGAGTTCTACACTTTAGAGAAGTTTCTATTCTCTTGGATTACCTAATATTCCAAGCACTCCAGCCAGTCCTAGCTCCCCCACCCCCACCCCAAGCATGGCTATACCTCAGCGTGGTTTCTGGAGGGCAGGGGTGAATGGACACGTCTGGTAAGAAAATACATCCCCCCGCAACCCAGTTCACTCCATCCTCTCCCCGCATCTCCATAAACAGTTGGTAAAATGGAAGTCTCCGCGACAGTCTCTAAAAGAACACCCCATTTCTAGAGTTACCTCAGGCATGGGGGTGGTGCACAGTGCAACCTTACGCATCAACACGACCTTAGAGATCTGCCAATACAAAGACTGCATCAGTTTTCCACCACCGGGATTAGCCGGGAGGCTCTGTCCCTCTCCAGTCTTCTGCATATGGATGGCAGCTAATATTCGAGCAAGTGTAAGCAAACCCACAGGTTGATCAAAGGACATCTTCCCCAGCTTGATTTACATAACTGAGTGAAAGCGGAACTGAACGGAGAGCCACAAGCTGCAGCTCTTCGGAATTAGGCGTATTTGCACCTCGCTTGTAAATGCTGCTGCAATTGAATGCCCAGTTGGCGGAGGCTAACTGTAATTTCAAAATATTACCAGATATGAGATGGCAAGTCAATTGAAGCCTTAGGTAAACAAGAAGAAAAATTATAAATGGGAGAAAAAACAAAAAAAGCTGGGTTAATGACCTGAACATCTCACGGACGTTCGCCATGTCCTGTGTTCCAGTCTAGCCCACAGAGCTTGGTCATTTAGCTCGCGCTCCCCTTGTCTCGTGGCAGAAGTCGAGTCTCTTTAAGGCACCCTCATCACTGTGCAGATACCCCGTTCTCATTCTTTATGACCGCACACAATCCTGCATCTGCAACCCTGCTCACCATGCCTTTGTCAACCCAGCGCACAGAGCAACATCGGCTCCCTGCTGTCAAGCAGCGGCCCTGTGCAAAGCAGGCAGCAGCACAAGCCTCAGTTTTCTTCATTGTACCTTTCCACGCTGTTCCCATCACCTGGGGCGTCAGAGAGACGAAAGGAAAGAAGCCAGGTGGCAGGCACAGGGTCGCTGCAGGCCACTTCTTGCCCGCGGCTCACAGCACTGCCTGCACTGCTTCCTGGCAGTTTCTCCAGAACAGAAACAAAATTAGACCTAAATGAAGCACCCTGGCTGGAGTGAGACCAGCCACCAGTGGGTGAGGTCTACAGGCAGGGAGGTCACACTGGCCTTGGCAGGGTTCAAGAGGGGGTTGCAGTTTGGTAGATGTGCATGTTTAAAGTCTTCCAGCCTAAGAGCCCCCAGTGGGCAGCCTTCTCTTCCACAGTTTCTCTGCCACAGGAGAAAAGAGTCTTCCTTAGGGCAATGTCCTAGAGTTGCTCAAATCAATATTTATAGGTTACCTATCAAAAATTAAAGTTAAACCAGGTCTAGAGAAGCAGACCTCAGGGCAGGAAGGCAGGAGGCTCCAGACATCAAAGTTATGGAGCTGGTGAGATGGCTCAGCAGCCAAGAGCTCAGGCTGTTCTTCCAGAGGACCCTAACGTGGCTGGCAGCACCCACATCGGTGTATCACTGTTAACTCCAGGGGATCTACTGCCTATGGCTTCTGAGGGCAGCTGTGCTCATCTGCAAACACACATAAAATAAAATGAATCTTTTCAAAGTAATTCAGGGTCAATTTTATATTTAAAAATCAGAACTTAAAAATAATAAACAACAGAACTGAACAAAGGTTAAGAGTGCTTGTTCGAAAAATGGTGCTGGTCTAACTGGATGTCTACATATAGAAAAATGCAAATAGATCCATATTTATCACCCTGCACAAAACTAAAAGCCAAGTGGATCAAAGATCTCAACATAAAAATAGACACACTAAATGGGTTAGAAGAAAAAGTGGGGAAGAACCTAGAACTAACTGGCACAGAAGACAACTTTCTGAACAGAACACCAACAACACAGGTTGGTTCTAAGAGCAACAATCAATAAATGGGACCTCATGAAAGTGAAAAGCTTCTGTAAAGCAAAGGACACTGTTGTCAGAACAAAATGACAGCCTACAGACTGGAAAAGGATCTTCACCAACCCTACATCTGACAGAGGGCTAATATCCAGAACACATAAAGAACTAAAGAACTTAAAAAACAACAAATCAAGTAATCCAATTAAAAAAACAGGATACAGAGATAAACAGAGAATTCTCTGTAGAGGAATATCCTCTGTAGAGGAATATGGCAGAGAAACACTTAAAGAAATGCGCAACATCCTTAGTCATCAGGGAAATGCAAATCAAAACCCTGAGATTTCACCTTACACCCATCAGAATGGCTAAGATCAAAAACTCAAGTGACAATGCATGCTGGAGAGGGTGTGGAGAAAGGGAAACCCTCCTCCATTGCTGGTGGGAATATAAACTTACACAACCACTCTGGAAATCAATCTGGCACTCTCTCAGACAATTAGGAGTAGTGCTTCCTCAAGACCCAGCTATACCACTCCTAGGCATATAGCCAAAATATGCTCAAGTACACAATAAGGATGTTGGTTCAACCATGTTCATAACAACTTTATTCATAATAGTCAGGACCTGGAACCAACCCAGATGTCCCTCAATGGAGGAATGGATATAGAAATTGTGGTACATTTACACAATAGAATACTACTCAGCAATTAAAAACAAGGAAATCGTGAAATTTGCAGGCAAAGGCAAATGATGGGATATAGAAAAGATCGCTGAGTGAGGTATCCCAGAAGCAGAAAGACACACATGGTATATACTCATTTATAAGTGGCTACTAGACATATAATATAGGATAAACATACTAAAAATCTGTACACCTAAAGAAGCTAAGCAAGAAGGAGGACCCTGGGTAAGATGATCAATCCTCACTTAGAAAAACAAACGGGATGGACATTGGAAGAAGGAAAAAACAGGAAACAGGACAGGAGCCTATCACAGAGGGCCTCTGAAAGACTCTACCCAGCAGTGTAACAAAGCAGATGCTCAGACTCATAACCAATTTTGGGCAGAGTTCAGGGAATCTTATGAAAGAAGGGGGAGATAATAAGACCTGGAGAGGATAAAAGCTCCACAAGGAGAGCAACAGAACCAAAAAATCTGGGCACAGGGGTCTTTTCTGAGACTGACACTCCAACCAAGGACCATTCATGGATATAACCTAGAACCCCTACTCAGATGTAGCCCATGGAGTTCAGTGTCCAAGTGGGTTCCCTAGTAAGGGGAACAGGGGCTGTCTCTGACATGAACTCAGCTGTCAGCTCTTTGACCACCTCCCCCTGAGCGGGGAACAGCCTTGCCAGGCTACAGAGGAAGATAATGCAGCCATTCCTGCATTATTAGACAGGATAAACTAGGGTCAGATGGGAGGGGAGGAGGACCTTCCCTATCAGTGGACTTGGAGAGGGGAATGGGAGGAGATAAGGGAGGAAGGATGGGATTGGGGGGGAGTGAGGAAGGGAGCTACAGCTGGGATACAAAATGAATGAACTGTAATTAATATAAAAAATAAAAATTTAATTAAAAAAGAATGCTTGTTCTTGCAGAGGACACAGGTTCAATTCCCATCACCCACAGGATAGTTCCCAAACATAATCACCCATAACTCCTGTTTCAACACTCTCATCTAGCCTCCTTGGACACTGTATGCATGAGGTACACAGACATACCTGAATGAAAAATACGCATATACATAAAATAGTCTAAGCAGAAGAACAATTTAAATAATAATAAATTTACATAATAATTTAAACAATTTAAATAATAATAAATAAAAGTAAGTTTGTCCTACTTTACATCTCTGTTGCTGTGATAATACACTGACCAAAAGCAGCTTGGGGTAGAGTATTTCATCTTACAGCTTACACTTCATCATCCAGAGAAATCAGGGCAGGAGCTGATAAGGAGGCCAATGAGGAATGCTACTTACTGACTTGCTCTCTATGGCTTGCTCAGCCTGCTCTATTATACAACACAGTACCACGTGAGTGGCACCACCCACAGCGGGTGGGGCCTTCCTTCATCATTCAACAATCAAGATAATTCCCCACAGACATAGCCATAGGCCAATTTGATGATAGCAATACTTAATTGGCATTCCCTCTTCCTGATAATGTCTAGGTTTGTGTTAATTTGCAAAACCAAGCAGCACAGAGTTCAAGAGCATCCCATAGCTACATTTTGAGTTTGGAGCCAGCCTGGGCTACATGAGGTCCTGTCAATGTGGCTAAGGACTTCTGTGGCCGGACAACAGCCAGGCCTGCTGATCTGACAGTTAACTTGTCTCCCTCAAGGAGACAGACAGACTTGCTCCCTGCTTCTCAAGGCAGCTGCCATAATCAGCCCAAGTGCTCGCTGCTGGAAAGAAGCCTACAAAACCCAGCTACAGAATGAATCCACTCTTAATTGCAATGCTGGTCCCCCTCCTTGCCTGCAGAGGCTGGAGACCTAGAAATTGTTTTTGTCCTCAAAGTGGGAAAATACTGGTTTATGCAAGATCAGTTGCATGAACTTTGACCTGACGCTGCCTCGCCACATATTTTGTTTGGTCTAAAATTTCCTCTACACCTAACAAATTGCAACCTAAGTTTATTTGTATTGTAACCCACAATTAGGGTGACAGTCCGTGTCTGTGTCTCCCTGTGTTTTCTGTATGCCATGTCCTCCCCTCAGAGCAGGAGGTAGCATCAGCATTGGCAACTGTCATTAGTTCTAGCAGTCAGCTGTGAATGCAAAACTAATTCTAAGGTATTCCAGCATGCCTGTGAGTGTGTGTGTATGTTGGGGGTGAGGTGGGGAAGGGGGTTGTTACTGTGTTATCGACAGCTGGTCCACATTCCTTAAGCCTTGCTTTGTCTCAATACGTCTGCCAAAGTGTAAGCCCACCTTCCATCTTCTTTCAGGGAACTCCTAAAAAGGTTTCTCTTCTCAAACTTGTCCCCTGCACTTGTTTGAGAAGAACCTGTGTTCTGCTTTCTTTAAAAACCACATTTCAACCTTAAGTTGATGCTGGGGTGAAGGCTAAGGGGTGGGAGCTCTCAGAGGGTCTGTTGACCAGCTTCCTCAGAACCTTCTTTCTCCTGGGAATTTCGAAGCATTACCACCCACCGTCCTTTGAAGCTCAGTTTGGGACTGTGTCCCTAAGAAATCCCTTCAGTGTTCTTTCTTAGTCTTAACACACTGAAGAATTTACACTTCCGATTTTGTAGCCAAAAGAGGCTGTCCCACTTTTAGGAGTCTGCATGAGCATCAAGAGACACTGAGTTCAGTCTCTGCTTTGAGGATGGGTTTGTCACAGGGCCTCAACATCTTCTATGGACTATACCCTGGTGCTGGCATGCCTTGTAGGGAGTTCACTTCTCACTCCCCTGCCACACAAACTAATTTTGTAGATGGTCACAGAGAACACAGACCCCTGGACAGATTTTATGATCCTGGAGATAAGGGGTTGGAGAAAGGAACTGTGTTTGAGATCCGTATCTTGAGAGTTGGTGTGTTTGATACCCAGCTTGGGATTTGCTGACAGGCTGGTTATATGTCTGGAACAAAAATAAAAATGAAGGAAAACTAAGGAAAGGAGCTGGGAAGACAGCTTAGCTGTTAAGAGTCCTTGATGCTCCCCCAAAAGACTTTAGTTGGGCCCTCAGCACCCATGTCCAAAGGCACACAAAACCTGTAAGTCCAGCTTTGGGGCAGCTGCATTCACACACACACACACACAAAAATAATAATAATTGTTTTTAACAAGATAAAGAAGATGTAGATATTTTTGGTAACAGTTTGATGGAGTTTGTAACATTAAAGAAAAAGGAAAAAACATAAAATAAAATAAAGCCTCTAAGATGACCCAAGGCGTCCGGTCTTGGATTTGGTAGTGGCCAGCACTCATTGGATGGAAAGGTAAGTTTGTGATGTCAAAGGCCATGTGTACCCTCATGGCAACCAAGGTGCAAATGGAAAAAGCGATGCAGATGAAAGGGGATGCTGGGACTTGGGATGCTTCCGAACTCCCCAGGAGAGAGCACATAAGCACATAAGGAATGTAGCTACAGTAAGTAATCTGAGAAGGTCCCAAGCAAGGCACGGGTGTGAGAGGAGAGTTGTCTCTCTGTCTCCATGGAGTTGATTCTGAGACTAGGAGAATAAAACCAGAGGATACAGCCATCATTTGTGTTAAAGGGAGCAATGCTACCTTTAACAAAACGGTTTCTGATCCTGAGCCCTGCAAACCAGTTTTGGGCAGCTTAGGATGGTTCACAAGGTGCGAATGGGAATCATTATTCAGGCTTAAGACAGAATGGCAAGACTTAGGGAGGTGTCTGACTTGATATAGTGCCTCTCTCAAAAACACAAGTACATGACTTGACTTCAGATCCCTGGCACCAACGTCAGAGACAGGCACAAGTCTGCAACCCCAGAGCTGGTGTGTGGTCCTGATGGAGCTGCCAATGAGCAGCTACCTTCCTGGTAGACAGAAGGGAAGACATCCACAGATTTACAGGCTGCTTCTAGGTGAATGGGGTGCTCTGGAATTGTCTTCTATCTGCTACTTCTCAGTGGCATTCAAAGCAGTCATTAGTCCAGAGTGGCATGTTTATAAGTGATGCTGGTCTTGCTGTGTGGTTATCAATGAGGTTTAATTGCTCCATTGTGCTTGAAGGGTTATTATTGTACAGGGTGATACTATTTGGAAATCATGGAAACCCTACAAGTGTGAGTTAGGGGAGCATCTCTTAGGGTCATGCCCTTCAGAAGGAGTTCTTGAGCGAAGGACTTTTTTAAAAACTTAAGTTTGACCCCACCCCAACCCTCTCTGTTTCTGGTTTGAAGCATATAATCACTTGTTGGCTGTAGCCACCATGTGCATCCACCATGAGGTGAGAGAACCCAAGGGAAGCCACAGAGCTCTGTCCATCAAACTGCAGGGTAAATGGACATTTTCTCTTTAAACATCAACAGCCTCGGGTGTTTTATGATAATGACAAAAAGCTAACACATTGCCCTGTGCTGTGGAAGATATGGTCCCTGCAGCCTAGGCCAGCCTCCCCAACTCCCCCAGACACATACACACTGAGAGAGAGAGAGAGAGAGAGAGAGAGAGAGAGAGAGAGAGAGAAGGAGGAGGAGGAGGAGGAGGAGGAGGAGGAGGAGGAGGAGGAGGAGGAGGAGGAGGAGGAGGAGGAAAGAAAAAGAAGAAAAATACCCAGACAGCTGAGAAGCGCCCATAACTCACTCCAGCAGCCCCAGCAGTCAGCATTCTCGGACTAGGGATGCAGGGGGACATTGTGCTTCTTCTCCACTTACCACCCAGGTGCTTTCAATCCTGGGGTTTTGGTTGTAACAAGAGAAACCCTGGGTTCAATTGTAGAAAGTCACCAGCTTGGCTGTCATCCCTGGGTTGCATGTTTGGCCAGTAACTTAGGCCGTATTTGGCAAGCATGGCTCAACCTTTCCTGGAATCTTGTCTTTCTCTAGAAGCCAGCAGGACTCCTGGCCAGCTCACAGTATGCACTGGGCAGGGCAAATGAAACTGCCTAAGTTTGTCAACAATCCCATGCTGGGTGATCTGGGACAGAGGAAGCTGCTGGCTCAGCAGGATGGGTGACCAAGAGCAAGGAAACCTCCCTTATTGCAAATCTGAGCCCTGAGAGGGCTGAGGTGAACGAGACTCGACAGGCACCCAGGTCATGTCTGGACTTGCACAGATGGAATTTTAAGCACATAAAACACTGGAGTGCTGGTACCAGGAAGTGAGCTTTCACAGCCGAGTTCTGTGAGTCCTGAAAAAACAACAAGAGCACAGGAGCCCTTGTCTCAGCAAAACGATGCCTGCCTGTTCTGACAGCTAGGAAGATGAGGCTCCTTAGAAAGCAGCCATGGAAGCTTCATGCTGAGACAAGCGTATGAAAAGTAAGAGCAGGGACTGATGAGGTCTGCATGTGTGTGTA